CTGTGAGCTGGGAGCCTGACCCTGTGAGCTGGGAGCCTGACCCTGTGTGCCAACTGTCCTTGCAGCAGCCTTTCAGTGTTCAGTTGCAGTGCAAGTCTGGGCTCCCTAAGTGTCCTGCAATTGCTTTGCAGAGGTGCCATGAGGATCCTGAGGGGATTGGCATTATATTAGATGCCAACGTCTGTAAGCAAAGAGTGAGTGTAGATGGTACCACTGGACTGTGCCCTGAGCTGCTGAGCAACGTAGAGGCTGGTCACAGCCAGCAGTGAGGTGACATTTCCAAGTCCCCACTCAGACTTCCATGTTGAGAATTCTCTACAAGTAATTGACTTGTGGCAAACAGTGGGGATGGGAAGCTGCATATTGATGAGATTAGATGTGCAGTGAATAAGGTCATAAACGTGCAGTAAGTCCCCACGAGTTGAGAAACCACTGCTGCCTAGCTGGTGTGTCACCCTGGCACCTGGAACTTGTCTAAAAGATGCGGCACACCGCTCCTGACATCAAGATACACTTTGCTGGCTTCTTACATGGGGCTGTTACATTTCATGCCTGAGCCCACTTCGTTCAGACCCATATAAGATTCTGCTCTTGTCCATGATACTGGAGTGTGGGGTAATCTTCAGCTGATGACCACATGTGCACGCACTTCTAACAGGGGTAACTTTGGCTAGAAATCAGGTAAAAGGGCCTGAGTTGATCTTCCGTCCTCACACCCCTGGGATACTGAGACCAATTGTCACACCTCAACGGCAGCCTGTCTATGAACAGTTAAATGAACCTCTTTGCTACACAGTCAGCTGTACACTGTCTTCACTGGCTGAGACTATCTGGGAAACTCATTTAAGTTTGGATGTTACTGCAGTGTCCAAATTTCTGTCATGGATGCTCTGTCTTGGCTAGGAATAGAACAGCTCGGAAAAAAAAATATTCTAGAACAAGACAGCAACATAAGTCTATCCTCACATATTTAGTTGACTTTACTACTTTTAAACCACAATGTAAGAAGTAACTTTTTTTAAAATTTGCTCATCCTGTGGGTGTGACAGGCCAGCATTTATTGCCTGTGCCAAATTATCCTTTGGACTGAGTGGCTTGCTTGGACTGTTAAGAGTCAACTGCCTTGCGGTGGGTTGGGAGTCACATGTAGGTCTAAAGACAGCAGTATACCTTACCCAAAGGGTGTTACTGAACCTGATGGGTTTATGCAGCAATTGCTAGTGGGTATGCGGTCATTCAGATTTTTATTGAATTCTAATTTCATCACCTGCCCTGGTGGGATTTGAACCTGTACCCCCAGAGCATTTAGCTGGTGTTTTGATTTAATAGCCTAGCAACACTACCATTATGCAGCTGTTGTTTGATGTCAGCTCCACTGACTGAACTTTCTGTTCATTAGGTCTTGCCTGCCTGTTGATATAGATGTCATTAGCTTTGATGGGAAGACTGTAGAAGTCCTGCTCTGGAAAGGACAGACTCAAGGTTGACCAAAGTCATTTGAACCCACCATGTGACTATCTGAATAGAAACAGAGTGTATCAAAGAAACTCAGCAGGTCTAGCAGCATCTGTGCAGAGACAGAAAGGGAATTAATGTTTTGTGGCTAATCTAACTCATCTTCTTCAGAATATGGCCATATTGGATCAGCTTCAGAGTGGAATGGGAGTGACAGGAGGTATGGATAGTAAGATGGCAGATGACAAAATTGGTGGTGTAGCTGATAGCGAAGGAAGTTACCTCAGAGTACAAGGGACCTTGATCATATGGGCCAAGGAGTGGCAGATGGAGTTTAATTCCAATAAGTGTGAGGTGTTGCGTTTTGGTAAGGCAAACCAGGGCAGGGCTTATACAGTTATCTTCTGGCTGTTTTTTCAGTGGCAGGGTTATGGAAAAATCTGGATGGTACTCATCGCACTAACTTTCCACCAAACCACAGCTCCACCCATAAGATGGGTGCTGAAATCTGCAGCCTGCCCACCAAATGTGAATAAGTAATAAAAGGCCAGTTGGGCTTATTGAAAGCTCAGTTTACCTCAGTATTATGCTGCCCACACCATAAAGTGGGGGCGTGTGCAGGAGTGGGCAACCAATATTTTCTAGATGGCACAAAGGAAGGATAGTATGGGAGCGTGCCCTTTGCACTGAGGGGATTACACCCCAGAAGATAGTACTCCTTTCCTTCTTGTATGTAATTTAAAATCCATCCCCATCATTGCCCCTTTCCCCCACTCCCTCACCTTTAGGAGCCAAAGATCCACTGCACACCCGAATTACTTCACTCCAGGGTTCCATTAGACCACTTGCCTGCAGTCCTGGCAGTGACCACTATGGAGCTCTGGCACTGTTGGGACTGGTGAAGGGTGGGACTTGCCCCAAGTGAGGGGCAGAAGTACAACTCTGCTTTAGTTTATCCCACCCATAGGGCTTCATGCCTGCAGGGTAGGCTTGTTGTTGGTCTGTGTCAGCTCACTGCTGACCTTTCTGCTGGAGAGGTGTGCTGTTTCCCACACCCCTCCCTTGTGCTTTCTGCCAATAATTTATTTTTGAATTGGTCATAGGGCTATATCAATCAGCTTGATGCTTGAGGTTAAAGCATCTTAGAGAAATCTGTTCTTAGATGATCCTATGTCAATGTGATGGCTAATGCATTATGATCCAAACTGTACGATGCATACTTATACATAGTTTGTATTTTGTTATGATCCTAGTTTATGGTATTATTGCTCAAGTCAGATCCTAGAATTAAATCTGGCTTGATAGATCATATATTTGCTTTTTTGGTTCAGTCAGTTACTGAAAAAAAGTCACAAAGCTGCAGAGTTTAACAGCAGACTAAAATTTATTATCCAAAAATAGAAAAGAAACAATGCTATCAAAATATAGAACACAGTTGGAAACATCTTAAAACACAGCACAGCACAGTGTTGTTACTTGACACTATACACAACAGAGATTCAAATCCAGAGAAATTATCAGTACCAAGGACCTGGGTTCGTTTCCACCCTCGGGCGACTGTCTGTGTGGAGTTTGCACCTTCTCCCAGTGTCTGCATGGGTTTCTGCCAAGTGCCCAGGTTTCCTCTCTCAGTCCAAAGGTGTGCAGATTAGGTGGATTGGCCATGCTAAATTGTCTACAGTGTGCAGGCTGGGTGGAATAGCCATAGGAAACATGGGGTTATGGAGATAGGATTGGGGTCTGGGTCTGGGTGGGACACTCTTTGGGGGCAGGGTGGGAGCTTGGTGCATACTCGATGGGCCAAATAGCCTCTTTCTGCACTGTACAGGTTCTATGAATTTCATTGGGCAAGGTGGTGAATGGGTATTCCTCGGGTTTATTTCCAATTTGTTGATCATTGATACACAAATTTATGGAACCGCATTTTTATTCTGAACGGGTTAAAACACATTCATTTCTATCCCAAACAGGTTAAACACATTAATTTTTATGATGTTTTCCTGGACTTCATACTGATGGATTCCTTCGAAGATCTGGATAATCCACCTACTTCAATACAGAATGTGGTCAACAATCGATGGCTCAACAACTCCTTCAAGGAAACTGTAAGCAGCGAGTTATATTACTATGAGTTCTGGAAATATACCACCGTTCCTTCACCGTTACTGGGTCAAAAACCTGGAACTCTGTCCCTAACAGCATGGTGTACTTGCACTGAATAGACTGCTTGGAGACAGCTCACCACTGCCTTCTCTGGGGCAGTTATGGACGGACAATAAATATTGGCTTGACCAGCAACACCTCTAAACCATGAATTTTTTTTTTCAAAAACGGCCTCTGAGTATTGAAGGAATTTTAAGAATTCTGTTACGCGTATGCACGGGGGAACAGCAATAACTTTTTATTCCTATCTGGCACGAAAGCAAAATGGATAAGAGGGCCAATCAAAGATAGTATCCGATCCAAGGATTGTCCAAGAAAAATAGTATGTCTGAGGATTGGGAGCGGTTTAGAATTCAGCAAAGAAGGACCAAGAGATTGATTAAGAAGGGGAAAAGACAGAATGAAAATAAGCTTGCAGGGAACGTAAAGACTGACACTAAGAGTTCGTTTCGGTACAAAAAGAGAAAGAGATTGGTGAAGACAAATGTAAGTCCCCTACAGACAGAAACGGCGAATGTGAAAAAGGGGACAAAGAAATGGCTGAGCAATTGAATACATACTTTGGTTCTGTCTTTACAAAAGAGGACACAAATCAGATACCAGAATTGTTGGAGGATGCAAGACTTAGGGAGAGGGAAGAACTGAGGGAGATCAATGTAAGTGGAGAAATGGTGCTGGGAAAATTGATGGAATTGAAGGCAGATAAATCTCTAGGGCCTGATAATCAATGTCCCAGAGTACGTAAGGAAGTGGCTGTAGAAATATTGGATACATTGGTGGTCATCTTCCAGGATTCTATAGACTCTGGAACAGTCCCTGTAGATTGGAGGGTGGCTAATGTCACTCCAATATTCAAAAAGGGAGTTAGAGAGAAAACAGGGAATTATAGACCATCAAGTCTAACATCAATAGTGGGAAAAATTCTCAAATCCATTATCAAGGATTTTATAGTAGGGCATTTAGAAAGCAATGACAGGATCAGACAGAGTCAGCATGTTGGAATTCTATGAAGGTGTAACTAGTAGACTTGACAAGGTGGAGCCAGTCGATGTGGTATATTTGGACTTTCGGAAAGCGTTTGACAAGTCCCGCATAAGAGGTTATTGTGCAAAATCAAAGTGCGTGGGATTGGGGGAAGTGTATTGAGATGGATAGAAAACTGGTTGGTAGAGAGGAAACAAAGAGTGCGAATTAAATTTTCAATTTGGCAGGCAGTAACTAGTGGGGTGCCACAGGGATCAGTGCTGGGACCCCAGCTATTCACAATATATAAGGTAAGTACGCAGGTGCAACAGGCAGTAAAGAAAGCAAATAGTGTTGGCCTTCATTGTGAGAGGTTTTGAGTACAGGAGCAGGGGATGTGTTGTTGCAGTTGTACAGGGCCTTTGTGAGGCCACACCTGGAATATTGTTTGCAATTTTGGTCTCCTTTTCTGAGGAAGGATGCTCTTCCTCTCAAGGGAGTGCAGCAAAGGTTTACCAGGCTGATTCCAGGATGGTGGGACTGATGTATGAGGAGAGATTGACTAGGTTAGGATTGTTTTCGCTGGAGTTCAAGCAAATGAGGGAGGATCTCATAGAGACTCTTGTTTCCTCTCTACCAACCAGTTTTCTATCCATCTCAATTCTAACTGGACTGGTTGATGCCAAAACATTGAATGTATTCAAGAGGTGGCTAGATATAGCACTCAGGGCAAATGGGCTCAAAGGTTATGGGGAGAAAGCAGGATTAGGCTATTTGAGTTGGACGATCAGCCATGATCATGTTGAATGGTGGAGCAGGCTCAAAGGGCCGAATGGCCTCATCCTGCTCCTATCTTTCAGTAATCTAAAATATGCTAGGATGCAGATGTTTGATATCAGCCAGGCCAATCTCTCATTACAGAGAGACACTTGATGGTAGCTTATCCTGACAGTCATTGTACCTCAGCTGAAGGAGAGGTTTATGAAGGAGAATCCTTTGTGACAACCTGAGCTGGTGTAGGAATTGAACCCACACTGTTAGAATTGTTTGACATTGTATCACAAACCAGCTATCCAGCCAACTGAACTAACCAACCCCTTTGCTCTTGGTGGGGGGTAGTAATTTGCCTTCACAAGTTTACATGAAGTTTTGTTGTCTTCTAATGGATCACACAACTTAACTGGCTGAAATTTCATCCATCAGCGTGTTATACTTATACAACAGCTTTAAGATAATAAAACATTCCAAGACACATCACAGGAGCGTTACCAAAGAGAATTCGATATCAAATCGTGTACAGAGACATTAGGAGAGCTGGACAAAGCTTGGTCAAGAGGTTGGTTTTAAGGAGTTTCATTAAGGAGTAGAGAGACAGAGAGTTGAAGATGTTTATGGAGAGAATTCATAACAGTTTAGGGCCTAGTGAAAACATGTAAAACAGTCCCTCTCACAATGGCATGTTTGTGGAACTGTGCACTTTTGGCTCTCCGTATTTACTTCCATAGCAACATTGCTCTGTGTGAGCGACACAGCCTTCCAGTGTGGGTCCAGCATCTTGTACATTCCTCTCAGGTTTCCAGGTAGTGTTTTCCATTTGACTCTGTGGTAACTTCTCAGCTTTCAGCAGCCCCAGAAATTGCAAATCTTTTGAATGAAACGGAAATTGGGCCATTTCTGCAGCAGACAAATTGAACATGCACCTCTGGCCTCCTACGAGTTACATATTTGCTGCCCAATGAAGGCTTTAAGCATGCAAGTATTTTACCTCCAGTGCTGTAGACAAAAACAGGGTGTTAATATTTTTATAATACTTGATAGAGGTGTACAAAATGATCAAAGTATAGATAGAGTGGACAGCCAGAGACTTTTTCCTAGGGTGGAGGTAACTATTACGAGGGGGCACAGTTTGAAAGTGAGTAGAGGTAGATATAGAGGAAACGTTAGAGGTATGAGATAACAAGGTGTAGAGCTGGATGAACACATGAAATTCCAGAATGGAATTTCTGAAGAAGGGTCTAGGCCAGAAACGTCAGCCTTCCTGCTCCTCTGATGCTGCTTGGCCTGCTGTGTTCATCCAGCTCTACACCTTGTTATCTCAGATTCTCCAGCATCGGCAGTTCCTACTATCTCTGAAACAACATCAGAGGTATGTTCTTTACACAGAGAGTGGTAGGGGCGTAGAATGCATTGCTGGAGAGGGTAGTGGAGTCGGCCTCATTAGGGGCATTTAAGCGGCTATTAGATAGGCATATGGATGATAGTATAAGGTAGGGGTGGAGGTTAGATAGACCTTACGTTTAGGGTAAAAGTTCGGCACAACATTGTGGGCCGAAGGGCCTGTACTGTGCTGTACTGTTCTGTGTTCTATGTTCAATACTTATTCACAGGTTTGTTACCATCCCTAATTGCCCTCAAACTGAATGGCTTGCTCAGCCATCTCAGAGGGACAGTTAAGAATCAACTACATTACTGTGAGTGTAGAGTTGGAGGTAAGCCAGATGAGATAAGGATGACAGTTGTTCGCCCCTGAAGCTCATCAGTGAACAAGATGGGAATTTACAACAATCGCTTATAGTCACCATTACTGAAGTAGCTTTCAATTTCAGATCTATTAATAGAATTTACATGTCATCAATTCTTCAAATGTAAGGGTACTAACCATCTTAGATTGAGAATAAGAGGATAACCAAGGAAAGAGTGGGACTTATTAGAGAGGGCAGCCTGTGTGTGGAACCAGTAGACGTGGGTGAGGTGTTAAATGAATAACAGTTTCACAGAAGAGTAACACATTGTAGCTGGGGATTTCACTTGGGATGGTGAGGTTCTAGAACACATTAAGATTAATCAGGAGGGGGTATACTTCCCCCAGTGTAAGGCAGTAACCACCTCCCCCAGTGTAAAGCAGTAACCACCTTCCCCAGTGTAAAACAGTAACCACCTCCCCCAGTTTAAGGCAGTAACCACCTCCCCCAGTGTAAAACAGTAACCACCTTCCCCAGTGTAAAACAGTAACCACCTTCCCCAGTGTAAGGCAGTAACCACATCCCCCAGTGTAA